AGATCTAAAGACATCATATTATAGTTTTATATGTATAGAATTGTATACAGAAGCACAATTCATAAAAGTTAAACCCTGGAAGCAGCCTGCATGTATATCAACAGAGGAAAACCTAAAGATGTGGAATCTACACATAATGGAACACTACCTGGCTATAAAGAAGGATAAATTCCAGAAATTTGTATGAAAATAGATACACCTGGAAAATATAATGTCCAGGGTCATAAATCAGACGTATAATAGTAAATTCTGTGTGGTACATTCATTGGAATAAGGCAAAGTACAAAGAGCAACATTAAGGATGGGTAGGAGGAAACAAAGAAAGAGATCTTTTGCAGATGGGAAGGAGTCCAGGAAGTGGAGAGCAGGAGAAGGAGGGGAGGGCGAGGGGAGTAAGACAGTTTCCAATATGCCATGCACAGGTAAGAAAGAGCCACAGTGAATAAGCACCATATGAAAGACATATGAGGTAACAATGGTAATAAAACTGAATGAAAACAAGGATGGGGATTTAGAGATAGAGGCAAGGAGGTGGGCAGGAAGGCAAAGTAGATGTTTAAAGAAGGAAGAACTGTGTCTGTACACGAGTCTACTTGTCAAGATGAATATAAACTTCATGTACTACAAACATGTACTAATAAAATAAAAGTATTAACAAACCAGACAGTGTGTATATATATATATATATATATATATATATATATATATATATATATAGCGAACTCATGACCTCACACTTGCCAGGCAGGTGCTTATGCCCCTGAGCTAAAATCCAGCCCCAGACAGTGTATTTCTGTATATAGTAAAAATAAAATTCTTAAAATTATATATACTGTATTACAATCAAAAGAAAATTAAAGTATCTAAGGACAAGATGCAAGTGAAGAGAGACCATCCATAGAAAGCCCTTGAAATACTCCAAGGTGGACCACCAGCTTCAAAATGTATATGTTGATAGCATCATCACTTAACATGACACAGACTCAAAAAATCTTATAGGTAATATAGTTTTCAAACATTCAGATTTCAATGACTCTCAAGTGAGATGTTTAAATACAAATTTGTAAAATGAAAGTTTTCTAAACTTATTAAATGGCAAACCAGATTTATTTCCACTCTTCTCTGACAGAGTAATAATATAAAGCAAAACCAGAAGTCTGCATTTCATTTTCTTCAAGTTCCCTAAAACTTTAGTATAAACAGCCCTTTCATGCTTTGTGTTTTTATAAGATTTAAGGGAAAGTATTGTTTATAGAAAATTATTTGTAGCTCTTTTACTAACTTCATAACTTTGTTGCAAAGATTTTTTAAAGAGTCTTCAATAAATAATATCTTTACCAAACTGCCACTGGTAATCAAAGAGCTTTGGTGAGGAGTATGGACTTCAGTCAGTATGCTTTAGCATGAAATCTTATAATCCAAATACATATTACACACTTTACAGAGCTAGAGGAAACAATCCTAAAATTCTTATGGAACCAGAAGAGACCCAGAAGGCTAAATCAATTTTGGACAAAAAGAGCAAAGCAGGAAGCCTTCTAGAATCAGACTTTAAACTGTACTACAAAGCAACAGCAATAAAAATGGTTTGTATTATATCTAAACAGCTATGTGGATCAAGGGCAAGAGTCGAAGGATACAGAATCATCCCCAAACACAATCAGCTCGTGGATCCTTGACAAACGTCTAAAAGCATATTCAACAAGTGACGATGGAAAAATTGATTATCTGTGTGTAGAACATTGAATTTGGACCGTATCTCCTACCATATGCTAAATTAAAATCAAAATGGATTAAGATCTAAGCATTAACATAGAAACAGTAAACATACCGAAAGTTAAAATAGGTAAAACACTTGAAGACATAAATGTAGGAAATTTTTTCTAAATGGAACCCACACCACACAAGAAATAACAGCAAAAGTCAACACATGGGATTATATCATAAAAAAAGTCTTCTCTACAGAAAAGCAATCAATAAGTAAGTGAAAAGACAACCTACAGAATGAGAAAAAAGTTTATGCAGCTACTCCTCATAGCATTAATATGTAGATTACATGAGAATATATTAATATGAGAGTGTTGGGAGCCGCGGCCGACGCCGGTCGCCTTACTTGGCGGACGTAGGGCCTGTGGGTGGGAGCGGAGCCTGAGCTAGATTGCCCCTCCCATCGAGTGAGCCAAGTTGGCGCCTGCTTCCTGCCCCCTGATTGCGCTGGCGACTTAAACAACCCGCTCTGTAAGATAGTCTGCCTAGCAACAACTGATGTTAGCCAGTCAGCCCGCATCGCGCGCTTTGAACTGATTGGCTACTGTTGCCCTATAAAAGTGAATGCCTCTCCCGCCACGAGAGAGAAAGCACAGAGAGAGATAGAGAAAGTCCACCGGCGAGAAAGGACTGGTGGCAGAGAGGAGGCCTCGCGGGGCCCACGCGGAGACAAATAAAGGCAAGGTTGCACACAGCCAGACTTTGTCGTGTGTCTTTCCTGCCGGCCGGGAGCGACACCGACATGAGAGTACATGGGAAATATTACCCAGTGATTCCCCTGGAGGCATATTTCCCAAAGAATCTAAGACATCATTCTGTAGTGGTACACACAGATCAGTGTTTATAGCAGCACAATTCATAATGGCTATATCCTGGAAACAGCCTATTTTCCCATCCACAGGCAACTGGACAAAAGAAATTGTTCTAGCTACCTAAATGGAATACTATTGACTCCAACAGAGGAAAAACTTAAAACATTTTAGGAAAATGTATGCATCTAGAAAATATAATTTGCATGAATTAAATAAGACACACAAACTTAAATACCGTATGTCATATCTCATCTGAATAAGGCAAAGTACAAACTAAGATAAGAATAAAGGAAGAGTAGACAGAGACAAAGTAATGGATCTCTTGCAGTTGGGAAGAGGCCAAGGGAACCAAGGGTGAGAGGTATGCGTGAGGGGAGGAGGAAATAGAGTGAAGATGCACCAGGTACAAGGTCCTACTCATCTCAGTGGAAGTGTACGCTACAGGCCACCAATATGAACTAAGATAAGCAATATCAGCAGAATAAAAAGCGCAACTAGAAGTGGAAGGAGTGAGAGGGAAAGTGATTTTAAGACACTGTTAATGTACAACACTCCAAGATGTTTTTAAAATGCATGAATTTTTAAAAATGTACTGATAAAATAAAATTTAAAAACATAAAATTCTCAGAAATTAGATTTTTGATGATACTGGGTCTCTGTGTGCTTCAAGGTGGCCTTACATGCACTATGTATGATGGCCTCGAAGGCTCTGCTATCCTCCCCTTCAGACTTTTGAGTGCGGTGTTTTTCAGGGGTGCCCCACCATATCTGGTAGAAATTTGAGAATTTCTTAGTGTTCCATGACATCCACAACATTCTGGGTAGATTATCTTATGTGTTACGACTTACTCAAATCTGCTTTTATGAATAAAATTTTTGTCTTACCATAAAGTCAAGACTAGTATGCTAAGGTTTATTGATAGAGGGAAACCATTGTCCTGGATGCTTGAATCATAGACGGTGCGGAAGACAGGTGAAAAAATTAAACAGCTACTGTTCTTTCAACATTTTAAAAGATTTAGTACTTCAAGGGAGGAAGAGAAAGACAAAGTAAAAACAAAAGAGGAAGAAAGAATGCTGAAGATTAAAATTAAGTTTCTGAGTATTTATAGCCACATAAAGAAAAAGAAAAATATGAGTTAGAGGTTGAAACAGTACACAGTATCAAGTTTTAATTTATTCCAAAAGAACTTGCTTTACCACTTAAGTTTGTATTAATCAAATAGTTTCTTCAATGTACATTACTTAGGAACTTTTGAAAATAGGAGATTCCTCTAGATGGCAAAGGCAAAGACTATGACAAAACCTTTTACTGTTAGTGATTATAAAAACTCTTCAATACATTTAAGGGAGTGGTGATTAAAAAATCTACATTCAGTAAAAAATGCAATGCAGATACAAACACACATATGTACATTATCTGTTTGTCACCTGCATGTTATGATTATAGAAAATAGGTAAAATATATGTTTTAATATTAGACTTAATTCTTTTTTTGACAGAATCTTGCTTTGTAATTCTGGCTGACCTCGAATGCAGCCCAAGCTGGCTTCAAACGTGTGAAATCCTCCTGCCTGTCTCCTGAGTGATGGAATTATAAGTGTGCATCATCATGCCTGGTTTAGATGTAACTATTAAAGCATAGTTTCTTAAAAATGGGGATCTTCTTCCATTGCACAACATGAATATATATAAATCTACTAACCTCCTCAAGTACATTAGGGGCAAAATTTATATTGTATAGTTTTAATGCAAGTTTTAAAAAAAACAGAATGATAGATGGTAGGATTCTATATCCACCCATAGTGCTGTAATTAATAGTGGAATAATCATCCCAATAAAAAATACAAATTTTACACATTTTCTTGTGGATGAATTCCTTTTTTTCAAAAATGTAATGGATCATATTTTAAGTTGAAACATGCAGGAAATAGATCAAATAGAGAAAAAGTCATTAAGAAGGAAAACGTAAATTACAACTTAAGTATGTCGTACTTAATAACATTGTTTTTGCATCTTCTCTGAGCACAGAAACTGAGAAAATTCAACAATTTATTTCAATAAATAAAATGCATATCCTTTACTCAATTAATAAATATATATTAATCAGGAACATTTAACCCAAAAGAGAGTTACTCAAACTTTCTTCAAAATAGATAAAATTAAAACTTCTTATTCAGTTCCATGAGCATGTATTTAGTAGATGGACCATTATCCAAGACGAAAAGATAATCCAAGATTATCATTGTTTTTTTAATCCTAAGATTATTTAAAGCTACTTTAAAGAAGTAGTATAGAAATATGACCATAACACAGGCCAACAAAGAAAATACTTATAGCTGCTAGCATAGGGTTCCTAATACCATGAGAAAAACTACAAACGCTCAGCACTAGCATGATCTCTGTAGAGATATGGCATACCTCATAATGATTTTCTTCATTCTCTTGAATGTGGAAACCCGCAGAGCTGGGACATTTCTGAGGAGTGACAGGAATAATGTCACTTTTGTTGTGTGAGTTACACTGAAAGAGATTACCAAATAATGGTGACAAACTACTCCACATTTCGAGTGTCCACGGAGAGACAAGGTTGTGAGCCCAATAATGGAATGCCATTATGAGGGTCCCACTCATAGATACATGCATTAATACCAAGCCTTTATCAAAAAGGTAAAACAAATCGTCAAGATAAATTATCAAGATGTTTCTACCAAAAGTGAAGAAACTTAGATTGAGTTATGTTAATTTTTTACTCTTTTCAAAGTATTTATGTATTTATGACATCAGTAGATAAAAGTTCTCCTCTTTGTGGGAGATATTAGCTAAATCCTTCGTGTATTATACAAATATTAACCTCTGATATGAGTATCACTATCTCCACTTACAAAGGAGTCAGAAGGAAAACAAACCTACCAAATCTGTGTTTCTACATCACCTATATTCTTCTCTAACACACAATCTGCATTCACAAATGGTACACCTAGCATAGACCACACTGTTCAACTTAAAATTTAGAGTCCTAAAATATTAGTCCTCTTTTATGTTCTAAGTAGAAAACATTTTAAAAACGAAGGTAGCTAAATAATTCTCTTGATAATGAATGTGGATTATAAAACATAAGCTATTAAATTATCCTGGCTTTTCCCATGAAAATACTAAAATGGCTACTTTTCATATTCCTCCCAAGAATTTTTCCTGAGACAATAAGATATTATCTGCTTCACATTTTCTCATGTCTTTCTTTCCAAAAACTCTTCTTAGAGTCAAGTCGTGGAATATTTATAAGTACCTTGGTGTGGCCATTCATTAAGCATGGTATTATAATTTCTAAGTTTTTCACGTGAATAAAAAGATACTATAGTCCTTCCAGAAGACACTTATCATTGAAATGGTACACATATGTTTGTCTATCAGGAAGAAATTATTTATTTGGAACTACTATGCTGTATTTTTCTTTCATTAATAAGATGCTATTTTCCCATCTAGATGAAAAAATATCAAAAATATACATTCTTTAAAAGCAAATAACTTTAAAGTTTAATATATTGAATTCGGTGCATTTTTTCTTTACAAAGCACCATTTTGCATGTTTAAATATGTTTTTAAAAGCTATCATTACATTTTACAGCTTTCAATTATCAGTTACTTTGAAAATAAATAGCTATATGGTATCTAGGAAGCCATGACTTTTAAACCCAGTAACCACCCTAAAAGCCTTTTAGTATGAAAAAATGTTTTATTCCCGTTGTCACCACAGAAAAAATGATTTCAATTCTGTTTAAAACTTATCTCTTTTAGGAACTCTACATTTTAACTCCGCTTGAAACCTAAGTAACTTTTATGTGTAGTTTAGAAAGGGCTACTTTGCTAATATCAATTCTGTGAATGTACCTGTTTGCTGAATAACTACATAATTAACTGAAATGGCTTTTATAGAAATATCGACTTCGTCTTTAGCTTTCTTGAAAAAATTGGTCCACAGATCATCCATGATATTTCTGAACATTTTTATCTCTCAATTCTGTCCCATCCTGTTCTTATATATATATTCCAGCCAATTAATACTTTTTAAAATCCCATATATTATGGAAATTTTGTGCTAAGAAACAGTTTCCCATTTCCCATTTCCCTTGTTCCTGGTTTCACCCTGGTTATATATTAGAGTCCCCCAGAGTGCCTTTCAGTACGGTCAGTGCCTGGGCTTCCCACCTCATCTGGTTAAGAGCTTAGGCACAACTAGGTTTTTAGCACACAGGTCATTCTATTGTCCAGACAGAATTTTAAATCTCTGGATTAAGGTTAAGACTACTTTGTCTGGCCACGAGACAATTTTGAGAATTGAAGTCCTCTCTCAAACTGATAGCTTTCCCTCAGCATTTACCCTCCCTTTCTTTATTAACCCGTCACACTCTGAGTTATTTGTTTCACTGATGTGTCACACTATCATTGCACCTGTAAGAGACCTATAGCTGCATAATACTGTATAAATTCACATACCATAATCTACGTACTATCTAATCAAACCCTCTCCAAATGGGCAGAAATAATCTTTTATCAGATATGAAAGACAGTTTCAAAAATATGTGAACATTTGAGCATTTGAATATTTATTAGAATAAAAATTGCCCAAAAAACCATTCCAAAGTAAAAAGGTATGGTTGTCTCTATTTTGCTATATTTCTCTTAATGGGACCTGCTGTTTTCTGTTCATTCATTCATTTTATTTAATTTGCTTAATGATTAGTCACTTGCTGAGTGTATGTTACATAAGGATTTTAGTGCCTCACCAAAATATGACGGTTAGTTTCTATAATATTCATAGTTTAGTAGGTAAATCATGCATGGAAACAACCACAAAGATACATAAAAGTGTTATGTATAAATCATGCAGTTTAATAAGGGATAGAGGAGAGAGAATGGCTACATTCCTGGTATTAATTCATTGGCCAAAACTTGAGAGATGGGCTAATGGGAGAATCATGGTCTTGGATATGTGTAAGACAGAAGGAACTACGTAGGCAAAGAGGTGAATTGCCCCAAGCTGTGGGCAGTTTGATAGTCAATCAACCATGGAGTGTGTGAGGACTGAATTGAGGGTAGATGGAAATCATACTTCACTAGATACAATAACAGAACCAATGATGAAGAGTTAGAGAATTAAACTTAATATAGCAGTGCCTGCCAGGATATACTCTTTCTTAACAGTGGTAGTACAAAGGTGTTCATCACTTATAATTCCTTATCTCCAAATATCCACAAGGCAATATACATTCTGAGCAAAATGCCCACATTTGGACTAGGACAGTGACACCCAGGCAAGTGCTTCATCCCAACAAGAAACTGCCCCAAAGTTCCTCCTGTGTCTAGTTCTGGTTCAGTTTCTCCTTGTAGAACAGTAAATAACACCAAAAGAAAATTTTAACCAACAGTTATTTCCTCATCTTTTAGAATTTTGGACTCTTACGATGTAACTTGCCTCTGGGATTTATAAATCTATGAATCCAAGCAAAAAAGAAAAAAAAACATAAATGATATTTGTGATATTTGTGATCAAAAGATGGTTAGAGGAAAATAATTTAATCCTGAATCCTTCTTAAAAAGTGTCTACCTTAAGGAGATTTGCTGCTTAAACAGAAAGATATGTTTTAAATTATTTCAAAATTTTTCCAAAGATTTTTAATGTTTGTCAGTTAGTATGAATGATTCTGTGATTAAATATAGTTAAGATGTGTTTGGAAATCAGATTTAATATCACAAGGAATAATGAAAGTCCAACTTGAAAGGTCCACAACTCAACAACAGCAATCATATTAAATGAGAATCACTGTGATTAATTTTTTTATGTTTTAAAATCCATTTGGTGCTTTCTTTTGCGTGCAACAGATAGCTTGTATTTTAATAGGTAGATAAATCTTGCTTCTCTAAAACATCCATTGTACTTCCTGAGAAAATTGTTATTCTCTACCTACAGAAATACCCACTCATTCTTGGCACATAAGCAGGTATTTTAGCTCTTTCGTTATTGACATAAATTCTTAAGAAATCACTTCATAGTCATGATATCAAGAGGAAAAAATCAAACCAACAAAAGGTTTATGCAAAATCGCATAACATAAATAAGACACGGCTGTTTTCTTTGCTTAAAGAAAGGACTTCTTTGCATTTTCCCCCCAACTGTAGTGTGGCAGCAGAGTTCCCTGTTATTTTATTACTCCTCCTACCTTCTTACAAAGTCAAAGCTGTTTGCTAAAAATCAATGGCACTGTTATAAAATGCTTGCAATCACTATAGAGGCAATAGCCATGTATTTTTGTGAAATAGGCTTCATTAAATAAAAATATTATTTGTTCAAAACTCCCACTACAATGTTATTCTGCCATCTTAATAAACTATGGATTCCTTTCATTAAGAATTATAATATGTTAAGAAAGTTTTGATTTAAAAATTCTAGAAGTTAATAAAATATCACATTTACAGAAAGGACTCTGTAGTAATAAATTTTGCCTATATGGAGTGTATCCAACTTCTTGCCACAAAATCTTTGGAAAATCTGCCTGTATCAGGTTTTCCTCCACCTTCACATCACTGAAATTACTCTTTTTGGCCACCAATTATTTTTCACATCACTAATTCAGTGATCAATTCCGGTCATTGGCTAACTTAATACAGCCCTGAGCTTTTTCCCTGCCTTTTATTTTCACTCATCTCCAAAAATATTACATACTCTTTTCTTTCTTCTAATACCTTTTCTGGTCATGTAGCCATGCAGATTTTTATTAAAATGAGAGACTAGATTGAATGAAATTTATGCACTTCTTCAAAATATGTTTCCTTCAATGGTGATTATCACTATGACAAAGATGTACACATCGACAGTTTCTAACTGAAATACCTTTTCAGATGTAAGTGAGAAATTCCTTATTAATCCACAGACAATTAAATAACTGAATATTCAGGTGGATTATTATATCATAACACATATTTAACTTACATTCTTATAAACTTATCTAATCATTAATGTTCCAAAACTTAATCTCTCTCAAATCAGAAAACTTTGGACCTGTTCTTAGCGCTTCCTCAGTAAAATGTTTGGCGTAACCTTCTTCTTTGGATTATTGTTCCATCATCTTTAATCATAACTATAATACAAAGTGAAATTGCTTATTGAATTTCATTGATGTCCAGCATGGTCATATGTATTTTGATTTAAAAAGCAAATGTAGTGCGATAAATTTTAAAGCCAAAAGATCTAACCAGATCATAGAAATGTAGAAGGCTACCATACACATCAGTTTTAATTAGCAATAATCTCATCCCACATAAATCTCATTGGCTACTCCACTGCACAGTGCTTTACATATCAATTTTAAGATACAGTTTACTTATGTAAAGTAAGAAAAAAAGATAAATCTAAAAGAATACAAGGGAAACAGGGAATGTATATTTTATGTAATGAGTATTATTTAAGATTGTTTGACTTTTCTTTAAGTATTTTTAACTCAAGATAGCAATACCCCGAAACA